CAACAGATCCAGGTGAGCTTGTCCCATTGGGTATTCTTTTTCCTTGGTTTGGGGTTTTGTCCCATTGGGTACTCTTTCATTTTTTAATGCAATGTTTACAATCCGGGGTACTCTTTTTCCTTCGTTTGGGGTTTTGTCCCATTGAGTTTTTTTCTTAATCTGTGTAGATAGGCTAAGAGAGGTTTGTTTCTTAATCTGTGTAGTTTTAATATTCAACAGTACCCACAAAAAAACATTGCAGAGTTGATGTTTTGGTTCTGCATACCAATAAATTTGCATAACTTGCTGAAATAACCTGCAGAGTCAGAAACTTATTACTAGAATACGCTCTGTTTATTTCAACAACATCCAAGCCTTTTCCCACCAAACTGGATTGTCTGCAAAGCAGGACCCGAAAATTAGTGAAGCAAGATGACCAAGTTCTTTCACTGTCAACTTGATGTCAATCCAGTTGAATTTTTATTTCATAGACGAGTCTTTTAAGAGCAAGCTAGGGTCCCAGAAGAAAGGTTGATGACATCAGGACATTTTGTAACTAGGTGGAGCTGCCTTTTATATTCATTCAATTTAAACTCATCAAGCCTTTTATATTCCTTTGGGAGGAAGCATGAAGACTCAAATATGTAGTTTTTATTTTTTAATGTAATGTTTACAATCCGGGGTACTCTTTTTCCTTCGTTTGGGGTTTTGTCCATTGGGTTTTCCCCAACTAAGGTCTTAATGAGGCCCCAAAGTGTTTTTCCTTGTCTTTTGTAAAATCTTATAATTTTAATAAAATTAATTAATTGATAATTTATTTATTTATTTGTTTAATTTGTTTAAAGGGGCACAATTGAGAAAATTTGCTCTTAGAAAATCCAGGACCGGCTCTGATATTTTAGATGAATGTTCTTTCTGCTCGTTTGATTCTTCATCCATATTTACTACTTTGATGAACGTGCGTGCCCGTGAGGCGTACTAGTATTATTGAACTTCTCTAAAACTCACCTCCTTAATATTCCTAAATCCTATTTCCATTGGGATTTTAGGGTAATATAACTATATAAGTACCCCTTAAACCCCTTTTATTCTCTGTAATGAAACCGCCGTCTGAAGCCGCCGTCTGAAGCTCGCCGCCTCACTTTTAGTTTCTCTCTATTATTCCCTCTTCTCCCCAAAACCCTCTCTGGAAACCCTAACTCCAAATTTGGCGGATCGATCAAAGCTCGTAGGCGGCCAAGCTTAGATGTAACGTCTCTTTTGTCCTTTTACGAGTTTTTTTAGTTATCAATTTCTCTGAACGTCTTTTTTTCTTTGAATTTGAAAGATAGTACTTATTTCTTGTCCCTCTCCACAAAATCTTTTCTGAAACCCTAATACTAAACGATTTCCATCTTTATTGGCAGATCGATCAAGAAATTGAGGAGATTTGAAGGGGGCAAAGGTTGGAAGCTGCAAATTTTAACGGCCACCTGTGAGGTATATTACATCAAATTACCCTAAATTTCCTTTCCCCTCTTTTCTTCTGAAACCCTAATGGTAATTCTAAAGGATGTTTTTTTATGGCAGATCGATGAAGAAATGGAGGAGGTTTGACAAGTTGATCGAAAAAAGGGAGGAGCTTGAAAGCGGTAACCTTAATGGCAAGTTGTCTGAACATCGTTTTACCCATTTCCCCCCCTAAATCTAGTTTGTTTCAGTATGTCTCATGCAACCAGTCTAATCTTTTATATGTTTTGGTTTACTGATTGCGTCGTCTTTTTTTCATAATCATCATGCTCTTCATTAGTTGTTATAAATGATGCATCAACTTTATAATTATCACTAGTCTTGGAGTTTGATATTAAGGTTGCATCAAAGGATCTAATCCTGGATAGGCTTTTTAAGATTGTTTATTATGAACCTGTATTAGCTCATTTATACTTTGTGGGTTCCACAAGTATATCCCCTTGGATGCATCTTGAATTTAGTCATACTATTGACCTGGTAAGATGTATTCTGGTTTGTTTGGACTTTTTGATAATTAGTTACACATTAATTCATGATTTCTTCACATCTAGGGATAACCTCCTTAGGCTTCCTCACATTGTTTTATTGGCTGTATGGATAATTATCAGACGTACTAACCCTTTATCCCAAATGCACTACTTGACTTCGTTAATTTTATGACCGTATATGTATATTATGTTTCGTAACCATATAATTTTTGTTGGCTATGAGCAATATAACTCAATATTATAGTTTAAAAAACTCTTATTTTTATTGGCTATGATTACCTTTCAATTTTTGGACATTTCACTTTAGTTCATTTTAATTTAAAAAAGTTCCAATTTCTCAAACTTTTTCATTCAAGTTTGAAAGTTTTCAACTGTTTAAATTATAAAATAACTTTTAAAAAAATTTAAATACCATTTTCACATGTTGACAATTTTTCCCCAATTTGTCAAACTTACAAGTTTCATAACGTTCCAATTTTTCAATCTTTTTTGAGATTTTATTTAATTTCCAAACTTTTCAAATTTTAAAACTTTTTTCAAGTTTTCATAAATCTACAAGTTTTCTTAAATATACATTTTTTCTACTTTGACATAACTTGTTGACTTGTTTTGCATTTCGCTTAGTTCTCCATACTTTCAAATACATTGAACTTTTTTCAGATTTTCAAACTTTTCAATTTCTCAAACTTTTGAACAACTTCTCAATTTATCAAGCTTTGAATGTTTCACTTTAATTTTCAATTTATCAAGCTTTGAATGTTTCACTTTAATTTCTCAAACTTTTCAATTTCTCAAACTTTTCAATTTCTCAAACTTTTGAACATATTTTCAATTTATCAAGCTTTGAATGTTTCACTTTAATTTTCAAACTTTCGAATTCCAATGTTTCACTTTAACTTTGATTTTCAAACTTTCCAGTTTATTAATCTTTTTTCAAGTTTTCAAAATTTTCAATTTCTCAAACTTTTTTGGCAACTTTCTAATTTCTCAAACTTTAGAACATTTCACTTTAATATTCAAACTTTCCAACTTCTCAATCTTTTTGACATTTCACTATAAAATTTTTGAAATAATCTTTGAAATATCTCTTATCTTTTTTCAAGTTTTCCCAAATCCTAATTCTTAGACCTTTTTGACATTTTACTTTAATTTTAGAATTTGTGAAACAAACTTCCAAAATTTTTATTTTTTTTCAAGTTTTCATGATTTTAGAATTTTTCAAATATATAGTTTTTCACTTTGACAATATTTGTTTTGCATTTTGCTTGGTTCTTTAAATGCTCCAAATTATTAAACTTTTTTTAAAAAACTTTTCAAACTTCTAATTTATCAAATATTTTGATAAGTTTTTAATTTCTTATGCTGTGGATAATTCTCTTTGAATTTCAAAAATTCCTATTTATTAAAAGTTTTTTTAATTTTACAAACTTACCAACTTCTCAAACTTTTGAATGATTCACTTTAATTTTCAAAATTTCCCATTTCTCAAAACTCTTTTGACATTTTACCTTAATTTTGAAAAAATCTTTCCTATTTCTCAATCTTTTTTCAAGTTTTGTTGGCTTTCCAATTTATTAAACTTGTTTCAAGTTTTCAAACTTTCCAACTTCTCAAACTTTGCTTTCCAATTTCTCAAACTTTTGGACATTTCATTTTAATTTTCGAACTTCCCAATTCCTTTACATTGTTTTACAATTCTCTTTATGTTTAAAACTTTCAAAATAATATTTTAAATTTCTCATTCTTTTTCAAGTTTTCACGGCTTTCCAATTTCTCAAATTTTTTTGACATTTAACTTCAATTTTTTGGAAGCAACAATTTACTTTTATTTTAATTTTTTTTGAAATTAACTTACCATTTTTAAAACTTTGTTCAATTTCTTAGAATGCTACAAGTTTAATTTATTAAAAATTTTAAAATATTCAATCTTGATGTAACTTGAGTTATTTTGTATTTTGCTTGGTTCTAAAAAAGTTCAATTTAATAAGAATTTTTCTAGTTTTTAAACTTCTCAATTTCTCAAACTTTTTGGCATCTTTCCAACTTCGCAAGCTTTTGAAAATTCTTTGATTTTTGGACTTCCCAATATTTTTCAATTTATTCAAAATTTCAAACTTTTTAATTTCTTAAACTTTTTGACAACTTTCCAATTTATCGAGATTTTGGATATTTTACTTTAACTTTCAAGCTTTTCAATGTATCAATCTTTTTTTGACATATCACTTTAATTTTAAAATCTCTGAAACTGTCCTTTCAATTTCTCAATATTTTTTCATGTTTTAATGGTTTTCCTATATCTCAAACCTTTTTGACAATTGACTTTTAACTTTGAAATTTTTGAAAATTTATAATTCACTTTGATTTCTAAAATATTTTCAATTGCTCAAGCTTTTGACAATTCACTTTGATATTTTGTCTTTCCGATTTATTAAACTTTTTAAAATTTTCATATTTCCAACTTCTTAAACTTTTTGATAACTTTCCAATTTCTAAAACTTTTGGACATTTCATGTTGCTTCGAACGTTCCACTTCGTCAGACGTTTTTGACATTGTACTTTAATTTTCAAAATTTCTAAACAAACTTCCCATTTTCTCAAACTTTCACACTATTTTCATTAGTTTACAGTTTCTTTTATTTTAACTTTGAGATAAATTGACCTATTTTGCATTTTTCTTAGTTCACCAAACTTTCAAATTTATCAAAATTTTTTCAAGTTTTGTGACTTTCTAATTTCTTTAAAAGTTTTGGAACTTTTTAGTTTCTCAAAAATTTCACTTGATTTTTAAAATTTATAATTTATAAAACCTTTTTCAAGTTTATGAAATTTCTAAATTCTCAAAACTTTTTGACAACTTTTCGATTTGTCAATCTTTTGCACGTTTCACTTTAATTTTCATACTTTTTTGACATTTCATTGTAATTCCAAAATTTTTTAAATAATATTTCCAATTTCTCAATCTTTTAAACTTTTCAAGGCTATCCAATTTCTCAAACCTTTTTGACATGTTAGCTTAATTTTCACATTCTCGAAATAAATTTGCCATTTTTTCAAACTTTTTTCAAGTCTTTCAAGATGTTGCAAGTTTTTCATACACATTTTTTAAAAATCTTTGACATAAATTGACTAATTTTGCATTTTGCTTTGTCCTCCAAACATTCCGACTTATCAATCTTTTTTTAAGCTTTCATACTTTCCAATTTCTCAAATGTTTTGAAACTTTTCAATTTCTCAAATTTTCTCAAATGTTTTGAAACTTTTCAATTTCTCAAAATTTCAAAGTTAACTTTGATTTTCAAACTTTCCAGTTTATTAATCTTTTTTCAAGTTTTCAAAATTTCCAATTTCTCAAACTTTTTGGCAACTTTCTAATTTCTCGAACTTTAGAACATTTCACTTTAATATTCGAACTTTCCAACTTCTCAATCTTTTTGACATTTCACAGTAAAATTTTTGAAGTAATCTTTGAAATATCTCTATCTTTTTCAAGTTTTCCCAAATCCTAATTCTTAGACTTTTTTGACATTTTACTTTAATTTTAGAATTTGTGAAACAAACTTCCAAATTTATTTTTTATTTTTTATCAAGTTCTCATGATTTTAGAAATTTTTAAATATATAGTTTTTCACTTTGACAATATTTGTTTTGCATTTTGCTTGGTTCAATAAATGCTCCAAATTATTAAACATTTTTTACAAACTTTTCAAACTTCTAATTTATTAAATATTTTGAAAAGTTTTTAATTTCTTATGCAGTGGATAATTCTCTTTGAATTTCAAAATTATCAATTTATTAATCTTTTTTTAAGTTTACAAACTTTTTAAGTTTACAAACTATCCAATTTCTCAAACTTTTGAATGATTCACTTTAATTTTCAAAATTTCCCATTTTTCTGTGAAGCTTATTTGAACAGAGAAAACTTAAGCGAATTGATTGAAAAGCTCAATATTATTGATAACAACTTCAGACTTATATAGCCTTGCAATCCTAACTGAAAATGAGAGAAAACAGCCCACAAATGCACGTACTATACTCTGTGGTAACAACTACTGGAAAGAGTCAAAAACAATCTTATATCCTTGGACAATAGGATTGCAAATTAGATTGCTCTCCTTCATGTCAAACCGATTCAACACTTCAGTTGCATATTTTCTTTGGCATATAAATATGCCATTTGACCTCTGTAGAACCTCTATTCCAAGGAAGAATCTCATTTTCCCTAAGTCAGTTATATCAAACTTTCTTCATAGAACGCTTAAACTCATACATCATATCTTCATCATTACCCGTGAACAAAAAAACATCAACATAAATACTCGCAATGAGAATCTTACCTTCTTTGCTCCTTTTGATGAATAAGGTCTGTTCACTATGACTTTTCCACTCATATTCCGGAAATACCGAAACAAAGAAATTTCACAGTCGGAACTACCAAAATGACCTATAAATCCGAGTATTAAGTTTACAATTCAAAAGAAAAACTCAATGAAATTGACCCTCAATAAAATAAGACTCAATTCGGCTAAACCAAGCTCTTGGAGCTTGTTTTAGTCCGTAAAGTGCCTCGTGCAGTTTGTACACCTTCTGCTCACTTCCTGTCTTTTCGTACCCCTTTGGTTGCTCCACATAGACTTCTTCACTTAGCT